CTTGCTGGCTGGCTCCTGGAGCCTCTCTCTGGATAGGGCTGCCAGATAAAATATAGGATGCCTGCTAAATTCGAATTCCAAATAAACAAGGAATAATTTTTTAGCATAAGTAGCTCCCAAATATTGCATGAGGTATCCTTAAACTAAAAATTATTCCTTGTTTATCTGCAATTCAAGTGTAACTGGGCTCTGTGTGTCTCTACTTGCTAAATCTGGCAGGCCCGATCCCGCTGCCTATGCCTCCTGCTGGCACCTGGCCTGGCCAGATGGCCCGGTCGTGCCTGGACACGGGCCCTGCCTGCCCAGTTATAGCTCCTGTCACCCACCCCACGCTGCCACCCCACTCTCAGGTAGACACCCCACCACCACTACCACCACCACACACACACACACACACACACACACACGCACACACCTGGCATGCACAGACCAGCCTGCGGGGCGACAGGAAGCTGTCAGGGCTCAGGCATGATGGACCCAGAGAGAGGGGACAGTACCATGGCAGGCAGGCCTGGAGTTCTGGAGGCAGAGACACTGACGAAGGGACAAGAGTGGCGGTGCGTATGAGATAGTTTGGGGGCGTCACGCTGGCAGGAGGCAATGCAGCATCCTGGGGGGTCCCTCCCAAGGCTGCTGCAGAGCCCACGTTGCTGAGGTGGAGGGGCCAAGCCATCACCCTGCATCTGCCCATTAAGCACAGCTGGTGTGCCCCAACATTCATCCAGGCTGGAGCAATAGCACAGTGGGTAGGGCGTTTGCCTTGCATGCGGCCGACCTGGGTTCGATTCCCAGCATCCCATATGGTCCCCTGAGCACTGCTAGGAGTAACTCCTGAGTGCAGAGCCAGGAGTAACCCCTGAGCATCGTCGGGTGTGACTCCAAAAAGGAAAAAAAAAAAAAGAATTGGCTCGGGGTCTCCTGCAGCCAAGTGGGGAGTGGGCGTCCTCCCCAGCCCCCGATACCCTCCCTTGCCCCACCTTCTCCTGGCCAAACACGAGGACATTCATGACTTTCCAGAAGGGCCCATGGGGCAGCCAGAGTGGCTTTTAAAATTAGCCTCACTGACCAGATCTGGTTATTTCAGGAGGCCTTGGCCCTCACAGGGCGGGTGCAGGGAGGGCCCTCCACATTCCAGGGTCCCTGGCTGCGTACCCCCTGTGGCCTGAGCAGCAAGGAACGGCAGGTTCCAGTCGCTGGCACTGGGCGGGCCTTGGCCTGTGGCAAAGCCTCTTTGGCCACAGCCCCTGGGTTAGCCACGGATGTCCAAGGAACCCCCAGCCTCTGTGGTGTGGTGTGGGGTCCAGGCTGGGACCTCAAGGTCCTAGCAACCCCTCCCCAGCCATCGGGAGGGCCCGGTCCCTTTTTACAGGTGGGGAACCCAGGGTAGGAGAGACGTAGCCGGCAGAGGGGGGTGTGGGCCTGCTGGGCACCCCTGCTCTCTCCACGGAGGCCTCTTGGCCCCCTGCATCGGAAGAAACCTCTGATTGAGTTTCCACCACCGGAGTTATTTCTAAGCAGGGTGCAGCGCTTCCCGGATCCCGGCACCCCTCGCCCAAGCCTCATTCCAACCTCTGGTGGTGACCTGGTTCACCCTCGGTACCTCAAACCCAGGGCGCGCGTGGAGCTGGCGCGGGCACAAGAGACACGGCGCCACACACTTTGGTTCCAGACAGAGTCGTCCACCGCTGGCCCGGCCCCAGCTCGGGGCCCAGCAAACTTGTGAGGGGGGCAGAGAACGGGGGCGGGGGAGGTCCTGAGTTGAACCCCAGCCCGGATGAGGCTGATGAGACCTAGTGTACCGGGTGGCAAAGGCAGAACCCGAGGAGCCCGACGCTGAGCTGGGGTCCAGGGTGGAGCTGTGGACGGGGTGCACAGGAGAGCAAAGGAGCGCTCGCTGGGGTGCTGGGCCTTTATTTTATTTCTTTTGCTTTTTGGGTCACACCCAGCGATGCTCGGGGGTTACTCCTGGCTCTGCACTCAGGAGTTACTCCTGGCGGTGCTCAGGGGACCATATGGGATGCTGGGAATCAAACCCAGGTCGGCTGCGTGCAAGGCAAACGCCCTACCCGCTGTGCTATTGCTCGGGTCCCTGGGCCTTTCAGAAAGGGTTGCTGAGCCCTGCAGAGCTGGCATGCTGAGGCTCAGGGCTGCGGAGGTGGGCGAGAGCACCCCACACATAGCGCCCCCTGCCCTGAAACCACCTGAGCCCACTGCATACTAGGGTTGCTCCAAGAACTTGGTGACAGGCTGGAGCCGTAGCACAGTGGGTAGGGCACTTGCCCAGGTTTGAGCCCAGGCAGTCCCCAGCGGTCCCCTAAGCCCTACCAGGAATGATCTCTGAGCACAAAGCCAGGAGAAACCCCTGAGCACCACCAGGTATGACCCCCAAAACCGAACAAAAGGTATCGAAGAGACTGTCCAGCAGGTGGAGCTCTGGCCCCGCACACATCCGACCGGGGTTTGATCCTCTGCATGCCATATGAGCCACCTGGGAGTAGTTCCTGGGCTCAGCCAACTGTGTCCCCCGCAAAGTAACAAAAAACTTGATGGGGTGCCCCATTTATAAATCCCTACATGAATGAAGCTACTGCCGTTAGGACTATCAACATTCCCACAGTCCGATGGAGAAACTGAGGCCCAGAGAGCCAGTCACAGGGCAAGGGGAATGAAGGGGGGAGGAAGGGGGAGTGTTGGCCGTGGCTCAGTGGGTGATGGTTCTGGGGGAGTGGGGGAGACACGGGGGCAGTGAGGACAGGGGGCCAGGCCAGGGAGTGGCCTGTGAAGGGGGAGGCTGAGGAAGGGGTGGGTGAGCTGAGCACCCTCTGAGCTCAAGGTAGCCCAGAGCAAACCCAGGAGGCTGAGGATGTTTATTTTGTTTTGAGGGCCACACCTGGAGATGCTCAGGGATCACTCGAGCAGGGCTCAGGTGACCCTATGGGATGATGAGGATTAAAGTATGGGATGATGGGGATTAAACCCTGGTCAGCTGTGTGCAAGGCAAGCGCCCTCCCTGCTGTTCTACTGCTCTGGACCCAGGAGGGTGAGGATGGGGCCCAAGGGGGAGCCATTGGCAACAGTCTGGCTCTCTGTCTTCCCAGACAGCTCCTGGGGGTGCGCTCAGCATCCTCTGGGGGAGGGTGTGGGAACTGGTGTGGGGATCTGTCCCTTTGGGGTGCCAAACGCGCATTCACCGTCCCCCTCTAGCCCTGTGCCCCCACCTCAGAGGATATCCCTCCACCCCCCATTCACCCAATCCCTGAAAACTTCCCTTGGTCCCACACCCATCAGGCTCATGGTCCAGACCCCTTCCAGTTCTGCCTACCTTCCCCTGAGCATCTCCTTGACCCCCCCAGTCTCACCAGGCCACAGCAGCCCCTGCTCCTTTATTTTATTTTGCTTTTTTTTGGGGGGGGGGGTCACACCTTGTGAGGCTCAGGGGCTGAAGCCTGGCTCTGCACTCAGAAACCACTCCTGGTAGTGCTCGGGGGACCATATGAGATGCCGGGGATGGAACCCAGGTCGGCTGTGTGCCAGGCAAATGTCCTACCTGCTATACTATTGCTCTGGCTCCATCCCTGCTCCTTTAAAAGCAAGGTCCAACCCCCCTCCCCCCCCGCTGGGTTCCAGCCATGCAGCCTCAGCCCCTCTGTGCCTCTCCTGTGCCCCATCACTTCCCCATCTTTGGGGACACTCTCCCCTCCATGGCTTTGCAGCACCCTTCCCTGAGGATGCTCAGTCCCCCCCGCCCGTGCTGGAGGGTCTTCCCAGCTGCCCCGCCCACCCGCAGCCCTGCGCTCTGCTCACCTCCCCTTGGTGGCAGCGCCTGGCACCGGGAGGCCCCACATCCTCATCTCCCCCTGTCCTCCGGAGTACGCGATCCCTCAGCGCCCCCTGGTGGCCGCAAGGGGAAACTGGGTTTCACAGAGCAGAGGGTGGAGTTGGTGAACAGAGTTGGCAGGAGCCACGGACCAGCCCGGACGCTTCCTCAGCTCCCACTAAACAGATGTGGGAACTGTGGCTCAGAGAGGCCACCAGTCTCTCAAGGTCACCAGCTAGGCAGGGACAGTGCCAAGGCCAGGCTCAAACCCACCGGGCTCAATTGACTTCACAGTCATGTTCCCTGCCCTTGGAGAAGTGGATGGGGTGGGGGGAGGAGGGGCAGGAAAGCGTTCTTGGGGAAGAAGCAACAGCCCACCTGAGCCACAGTCTGTCCTGGGAAACGTGCCAGACCCGCTGCTCTGATGAGGGAATGGACATGGGGGTGGGTTTATCCCCAGAAATGGGTCTGGGGTCCACCTGGGCAGAGGTCACAGAGAGCCAGGTCCAAATCAGGGTACAATAGCGATAAATAGAATTTATTTTGTACAACTGTTACCGACATACACACGGCCACGGGGGCTTCCAAAATGGGTGTTGGGGCTGGAAGGCTGGCCTTGGGCGCTGACGCCTAGAAAGTGGACACATACACACACACACACACACACACACACACACACAAGGATGGGCTCACAGCAGCTGTGTCTGGCCGCCCCTCTGCGGCGGGGGGCGCGGGCCGGTGACTCTCCCCAGCTGAGGACCCTGGGCCACAGCGCCCGGGAGCAGGAGATGGCAGCGGCAAAGCCACATGCTGTGGGGGGCCCAGGGAGTCCCCCCCCCACACACCAACAACAACGGGGCCCCTGGTCTGCCCCCTGGAGGCAATGGGAAGGGCAGGTCTGTAGGAGAGCGTGAGGGTCCCAGGGGGCAATGTGCACAGTTGGCCCCCTGCCCTTCAGCCTGACAGGGGTCCCAGGGACCCCAAGAAGCAGGTGAGTGTGATGGTCAGACAACCTCCCGTCCCGGGACGGGTGCACGGAACCACAGTCCTCCGTGACCTCTGCAAGGATCTCATCCTTCAGACGGGGCGCCCAGAGAGGAAGAGGGATTGGCTCAAAGTCACCCAGTGGAACCCAACCCAAAGCCAGGACGGCAGCGTCTGAGCCCAGTGCTCCTTCCGCCATGGCGCGCTGAGTGCGTGAAGACGACCCCACCCCGTTCTGCCTTCTTCTTGTTCCTCCGGAGTCCCAGGGGCCCCCCAGCTCCCCACAGGCGATGGTGGGCCAGGCCTGAGGTCCTGCTTCAACTGACCGCTCCCCGGCCCAGCCTGGGCCCCCAGCTCTGTGGGCAGGGGACTGGACGGCTCTGCCCTGCAGAGACAGCCCAGAGGTGGGCCCGGGGACACGGGAGGGGGGACGGTCCACAGTGCTGGCCCTGGGGGCAGAGGTCCCGCTGCCTGGATCTGACACAGAATCTTCACCTTGTGCTTCGGTAGTCTCACCTGCAGGCAAGGGGAGACGGACAAGCCCAGGCTGAGGCAGAGCAGAGACCGCCCTGGTTTGGTTCTGCAAACACCACCAGCACAGGCCGACCACCCTCCCAAACGGTGAGGGGGGGGACTACCCTCGAGGGTCCAGGCACTGGGTCTTTCCATCCCCTTGAGGACCTCCACATTCCTCCTTCCCAAGGACTCTCCACCCCTCCTTTCTCAGGAACCCCCACATTCCTCCTTCCCAGGGACCCCCCCACCCCTCCTTCCCAGCTATCCCCAGGGCCATTTTGGGTTCCTGCAGCTCACAGGTGAGACCCCATTTATTCATCTCGGTGCTGAGAAGGAAACTGAGGCCCAGTTGAGGCTCATGTCCCATGTAAGACCCTGGGAGCTGGGTGACAGAGGGCCGGACCCCAATACACAGCTGTCTCCCCAAAGCCCCGCCCATTCCCACCCTCCCCCCCAGAAACAGCTGAGCGCTGGGTCTGACCTGCTGGGTTCCGCCTTCAGAGGGAAGCCCGGCTAACAGCCCTGCAGGGACAGAAATGCCACAGGTGGGGCGGGGAGGAGGGGACACGAGGTAGCCGACAGCACAGAGGGGCCTGCGACAGGCAGAGTGCTAGAGGTGGTGGTGGTGGGGGGGACGGGCAGAACCTGGGGTAGTGGGCAGAGCACACCTCCCCCCCGGCCCCACCCCCCAAAGTACCCACCAGCTGGGGTGGGGGCTGCTCAGAGGCTTCCAGCTGAATCTTGATCTCGGGACACGCAGGGTCCCCCGACTTGCCGGCGTCGGGGTGGGGTGACCTCGAGGGGCCTGGAGAGGGGGGCAGGAGGGAGCCACCTCACTGGCCACGAGGCGGCACCAGGGAGACGGAGGCGTGGATGGGCGGTCGGCACCGGGCTCGGCCCCCTGCCCCTCCTGCGGGGGGCCCACCCCCCACCCCCCTCTCCAGAAACCGAGACCCCTCCAAGCTCCCCCTCCTGCCGACTGGATCAGGACCTGCCCACTGCCCACTGCCCACTGCCCCCACCACTGGAGCAGAAGCCCCGCCTCCCCGAGCGGCCCCGCCGGGCTGGTACCTGGGGAACTGCTCCCACTCGTGGTGCTGACGCTGTCCTCCAGCCATGTGCTGTAGATGAAGGAGTCCCGCTTGTGGGGTGTCCCCGAGGATGAGGCGCTCTCCTGGGGGCCGGGGAGAAGAGGTCAGCGCCCCTCCCCACCCCCAGGTCCCTCTCCCACCTCGCCCACTTGGCCCACGCGGAGCTGAGAGCCCGCCCTGCCAGTGCCCGCCCTTTGCACAGGGTCCCGGCCGAGCCAGAGGAGAAACGGGCTCTTCCGGCCCTCAGACGCTCGGAGGAGGACACGGAGTGTGCCGAAGCCCCACTGGGCAGCACGGGGGTCTGCCCAGCTCTTTGCTGGGCCTGGCGAGGCGCCTGCTAACGGTGTGCTGGGGGAAGAAGGGCCGAGGGCGCCAAGTATAAAGCCTTGCGAGAGGATAAAGGGGACTTTGTCCTGACCCGCTGAGGGACCAGAGAAGTGGGGAGGGCTCTGAGGAGGAGTCGAGTCAGGAGTGAGGAGCAGGAATCCAACCAAGGGAGGGTTAGGGAGTAGAGGGTGGGGAGGAAGCAGGCAGAGTGTGCTCCGGACAAGGGGGAATGGCGTGTCTGCAAAGGCCCAGAGGCAGAGGAAGCGGGGGACCACCAGGGAATGTAAGACGGCCGAGGGGGTTAGGGGCAAGGCGCGTCCATGGACTCCCCAATGGTGCTCCTGGACTCAGTGGGGGGAGGGGAGCCATGGAGGGCTCTTCAGGGTCCCATCTCGGCCACCTTCAGGCACCTCCTGCGCCCTGCAAGCTGGGGCCCGGCCAGGCTCACCGCACAGCATGCAGCCCCCTCCCAGGGCCGCTCACCAAGCCGGCATCATCCCCGTCCGCGCCCTCCGTCTCCTCCACCACGCTGGCGAAGCTGCTGGCGCTGGACGAGGAGCGGGAGAAGTCCTTTAGCGCCTCTGTCCTCTGGGCCGCGGCCTCGGCTCTGCACAGACGGCGTCCGTCAGCCGGCACCCCGCCCTCCCTTGTGGGCTCCTCCGAATCCCCCCCCCGTGCCCCCCTGCAGCCCTGAGCCTCCCCACTGCCACTGACCCCTAGATGCCCAGATCTCATCATGCGGGGCTCATGGGCGGGGGCGGGGAGTCTAACTTCCTGGGCTTGGTGTCAGGCCACAAGTGGCAGCAAGGACAGGGATTCCCCAACTTCTAAGGTTCAAACTGCCCCCTTTTCAGGAAAAAAAAAAGATCCCTGTGCCCCCAAACGTGCCCAAGCTCCCACCCTCCCGGTGCTGCTTGCGGAGGGCTTGAGTTGGGCACCGAGTGCCACAGAGACAGCGCTGGGGGCCAGGCAGAACTGGATGGGCATTGCACAACTCTGTACCCCACTGAGGACCAGTAACGAAATGTGGGCAGAGGAGAGCCCCCGGAAGACGAGAGGCAAATGGCACCATCGTCCTCAGACACAGTCTCTGTGCTGGACTCAGCAGGGAAGCGTAGGAAGCAGCCCCAGACACCGCCCGCAGCTTTTCAGCTCTTTCTTCTTTTGTTTTTTTGGCCACAACAGGTGATGCTCAGGCGTTACTCCTGGCTCTGTGCTCAGGGCACCATACGGGGTGTCGGGGGGGGGGGGGGTCAACCTGGGTCGGCCACGTGCAGGGCAAGTGCCCGAGCCACTGCGCTATCTCTCTGGTGCTCTCGGCGTTTTCTACCAAGTGCTTAGAGAGGCGGGAGACGGTGTCTGCTAAAGAGAAAGGGAATTCTGAAGACACAGCGGAGGCTGACAAGGCCAAAATGAAAACTTCCATGCCTCCCGGCGGGGCAGCAAAACACAGGAGTGCAGGGGTCATGAGGCACCTGGCGGCCTCCCTGGTCTGGTGCTTGTTTTGTTCTGAGAATCGCGCCCCCCCCCCCCCCAGACTGCAGAGAGCCTCCTGGCCTGTCTGCTGGCCATGCTGGCCATGGAGAGGGAGGTGGAGCGGCACCGTGACAAGCCAGCCGCCTTAGGAGAAGCAGCCCGCAAAGCCGGGGGGTAACACGCACGCAGAATGCTGCGGAAGGAGAGCCCGATGCAGTCAGGAGGGAGAGCTCAGTGCGTCAGCAGGAGAGGAAGGGGCTTCTGTCCCCCAGCCCACCACGTACTCGCCTAACCCGCTTGCCGCCGACCTCACGCTCTGAGTCTCTGCGGCTGCTGCCTGGAGCCTCACGGTTTCCCACAAACTGCAGACAGCAAACTGACCTTTCCAAAATCATCCCCGGGGGGCGCCTGCTCCAGGGAGCCCCCCCACCCCGCTTCCTCCCAAGATGGGAAGCCTGGCCCAGGGGGTCCCTCCGGGTCTCTTGTCCCCCTCTCCTGCCTCTGTTTGCCTGCCCGATTCTCTCGCCCATCAGGGGCCCCTCTCGGTGCCCCCAGCACAGAAGAGGCTCAGAGGGGGCTGGGGCACTGCATGGGCAGGTCCAAGCAGCCTCCTGGCCGGACTCCTGCTTCTGTTCCTGGCCCTTCCCCCGGCAGCGCTTTAAAGCGATTCTCCCCCACCGCAGCCCCCATTCTCCCGGTCCCAGGAGGATAAAGTGGAGGCCCAAGGCGGGAAGGGGCACCTGCCCCCTCTCCTACCTCACTCCCACTCCCCTGGCACAGCTCCACCCCGGCACCGTCCTTCCGGTCTCCAAGCAGACCTTAGGCTCTTTGCACCTCTGCTCCTGCCCGGAGCCCCCAACCCCGCCAGCCCACCTCTCTAGAACTCCTTCACTGAACACCCTCCTTCGTGGTCCTCATCACCGTGGACCGTGGGCTGCCTGTGTCCAGGGGGGACGGGGTGCCAGGCCATCCTCGCACCTGACCCGGGGTGGCAGTGCCCACAGCCCGCCTGCGCACCCACCTGTTCTTGGTCGTGGGCATCTCTGGGGAGCTCTGAGTGGACGAGTTCTCTGACTTGGGCTCCTGGGACACGTGCCCGCTGTCCGGGGTCTTCTGGCCTGCCGGGGGGCTCTCCCTGCGGGGCACACGGGGGCAGCGGGGGGATTCAGGCCTGGCATCAAGAGTAGAATGAGGCCCAGATGGTGAGAGGAGGCGTGGGTACTCCTGCCTTACACCCCCCAAGCCCCGCTCTGTCCTTGGGGGCCAAACTGGGGTGGTCTGGCGGGGTCCTGCAGGCGGGGCCACCGGCAGGAAGCAGACGCGGGCAGAGAGGCAGCCTGTGGCAGACCCCCCCACCAAATCCTCTCCATGGAGCACGGCTGCCCCTGCTGGGGGTGAGCGGGACCCTAGTGCCAAGGCAGCATTTTGCCCAGGGACCGAGAGCCAGGGCACGGCCCAGCCCAGACTTCACCGCAAGAATTCGCAGGCTTCAGGGCAGGTCCGGCTGTGAGCAGGATGCTCCATGCCAAACCCTGTCCCTCTTTATTTTTGCCTTTTTTTTTTTTTGTGGTAACACATGGTTATGCTCAGGGGTTACTACTCCTGCTCTGCACTCAGGAATTACTCCTGGTGGTACTCGGGGGACCATATGGGATGCTGGGGATCGAACCTGGGTCGGCCGCGTGCAAGGTAAACGCCCTCCCTGCTGTACTATCGCTGTGGGCCCAACCCTGTCCATATTCCAGCACCCACTTCCCTACGGGCACCACAGCCTGTGTGGCCCTGTGCCATGGGTCATGCTTATCCTCTAGCACTCAGAGAGGTGCAGGGACACCCCCGCAACACCCCCCTCCCTATGCCGCTCACACAGCCCCGGGAGGTAGCAGGAACAGGGTCCACATGCAGGAAGAACCCTGTCCTCCGGTCTGTGCCCACTCTTCCTGCTGGTTCTCTGGGCACTCCAGGACCAGGATAGAGCAGGGGCACTGCCCCTGAGAGACACAGTCACTAGTGCCAACCTGTTCTCCCCCACCAGAGGCTGGATGACCTGGGCCCCCCTGCACTACGGCTGTGAGACCCGCTAGGGACTGAATGCACTCGGGCGCGGGGACACACGGGCCCGGCTGCCGGGCACAGGCAGGGCCCTGAGCGTCACTCCTGAGAGCTGGGGCACAGAGGTGGGCAGGCACCAGCCTGCTTTGCCGTGTGTGAGCCCCCGCCCCCCGCGCCCACCCACCTCTTCTCCTGCACCTCCTGTATGTTCTCGATGCCGATGGCGCTGCTGCGGCGGGAGCCAAACGGGCCAGACTTCTTCCTCGTGGGGCTCTTCCCGGGGACGATCAGAGACTGCAGGGAGAGGCCCCCAGTCAGTGCCCACCTGCCCCAGGAGCCCCGGCGCCCACCCCACCCACCACCCCGGGGTCCTCCGCCCCAGAGCCTGAAGCAGAGGCAGCACGCCAGGACGGAAGGGGGGTGCAAGCCGGCCGCCGACACCCACAGCCCATCCAGGCAGGAAGGGGGTGCGGGGGGGCCGTGCTGCTGGGCCCAGTCCAGGAGAAGGGCAGGTGGGGCTCAAGGGGGCCATCCCAGAGTGGAGCGCCCTCTCTGAACACCCCCCACCCCCACCCAACCTCCGGGAGCTACACACTCAGGGCCTCCGTGGTGTGGGAGGTGGCCACTGCCCACCTCGGAGTCTCTAAGCTGGTGGGGGGAGCTCAGACCCCACAGCTGAGGGACCCCGGGTTACACACACACGATGGAGGGACCCCAGGCACCCACAGCATGCCCCCGGCCTCACTGGGGAGGCAGGGGAGGGGGCGCAGGGAGGCAGGGACCCTGAGGCCAGTACTGGGGAGAGGGTGGCCGGGGGTGGGGGGGGAGGGACAGGGTGCTCCATGCAGAACCAGCGATATTGGGGGGCGTGTGGCTGGGCAGAGGGTCTCCGAGGGTCCCGGGGGCCAGGACGGGGCAGGGCCAGACACCCCCAGCGGAGGTCTCTGGCTCTGGCACAGGTACCAGGCCCCCAGGCGGGTGCTGAGGACCATCCGAGCTGCCCCACACCCCGCCCTGCACGCCCGGGGGCCCGTCCCCAATATGGCCTCTGTCCTGGGAGCAGGCGGACAGCAGCGTGCAGGCAGCCTCCAGAGCAGGCGGCCCGAGGGCGGCACCTCTTCCACGGTTCCTATGCCTATGGCACTGCCCCGGCGTCCGAATCTACTCGCGCTTTTCCCAGGAATAAGCAATGACTGGCAAGCAGCAGAGGGCAGGGGCAGAGAGAGAGACGGAGATGGCGAGGGAGAGAGACGTGGAAGTGAGGCGGGCGGGGAAAGGAGGGAGAGACGGACCGACAGAGGGCCAGAGAAGCAAGGAGAGAGGGGCAGGGAGGGAAAGGAGAGGCGGGAAGGAGGAGTGGACAGAGGGGGGCAGAGGGAGGGACAGACAAGAGACAGACGGGGCGGGGGGAGGGGAGGGGGTTGGGTCCAGGGTGAGAGAAGCAGGCAGGAGAGACATAGAGCAGGGGAGAGAGGGGAGGAGAGGGAGCAGAAAGACACGCCCAGGAGAGGAGAGAAACAGAAGCACAAGGGGGCAGAGACAGGCCGAGGGCGGAGAGGAGAGCAGGGCAGGAGGGAGAAATCGGAGTGAAGAAGAGGGAGAGTTGTGCGAAAACAAAAACAGAAATGGATCTGGTTACTGCCATGGTGGGTGCTGCGGGCCTGACCCTGTCCCCGGGGCCCCTCTTCAGCCACCCACAGGAGGCCGGGCCAGTCCAGCGGGGAGGAAGCGAGTGGTCGGTGAATCTGAGGCGGGGACAGTGGGCCTGCTTCTCGGACAACAGGGGGTGGAGTGCCCGCTGGACAGCGGAGAACCTGCCTGCTACCCCAGGCCCAGTCAGATTGGGGGTGGGGGGTGGGGCCCCTTTTGCCACGGGACACAGCACTGAGCACAGGGCCTGGCATGCAGCAGACAGTCAATAAAGGATGGCAAAAGAAGAAAGGATGGATGGATGGATGGATGGATGGAAGAGAGAAGGAAGGGTGACTGGATGGTGGATGAGTGGATGAATAAATCGACGGAAGGAAGAAGGATGCATGGTGGGTAAATGAATGGCAGGACGGCTGGACGAGTGGATGGATGTCTGGATGGCTGGAAGGAAGGATGGATGAAGAGTGTAGGGGAAGCAGTGGGTGCAGTGCCTGGAGAGGCCACTAGGTGGCAGAAAGCAGATTAGATCCACACTCCAGGGCCGTTATTCATCCTGCATGCCTAGCACCCCGCCCCCACCCCCGGGGTTAGCAGCAGCAGAATCCCACAGCACTTGGCAGACAGTTAGGAAAGAATCACACAGTAGGTGCCCATTCCAGAGATGCTCACAGAGAAGCCCAGTGGGTGCCCACACAGCACAAGGGAGACGCTCACGGCGGGCACCGCCTCACACACAGGCAGGGTCCCACGGACATCTGGCACGAGCACACGGTCCACTGCCTGCCCCACGGTGGCCCCGATACACACAGAGGCCCACAGACACTCAGCGCCAGGACGACGGTGGGTGTGCACATGTCCACACAGTGGCCTGGACCCCCCCACCGGGCAGCTTGAAAGCAGCCTGAGTCCCGACACACAGGAGGTGCCACCAGTAGTATCCCATAGCCAGGAGCGCACGCGCGCACACACACATACACACACACACACACACACACACGTGCACGCGCGCGTGCACACACACGGATGCGGTCACACGGAAGACCAGGTCTGGACACACAGCATGGGCCCATGCCTGACACACAGTGGGTGCTCCCCGGAACCCCAGGAGTGACAGCAGGTGCCCACACCACAGCCCGAGTCCCCGTACACGCTGGACAGTAGGTGCTCAGTGGGGAATGTGAGAGAGAAGCTGCCCGAGAGCACCCAAGTGAGGGGCCTGGGTGGGGCTCTAGGTCGGCACGCTAGGGCTGTGGGCTGACCCCCAGGGAATACAGAGGCTAGACTGATCTAAAAGCTAGGGTGGGCACTGGGTCAGCAGAATCATGAAGGGAGGGGGCCTAGGCCTTGGGGGTTGGGGGGCAGCTGAGGGCCCCTGGGGAGGGCGGGTGAGCAGGGTGGGAGGAACTCACTATGCCAGCAGCCTTGGCCAGGTCAGGGTTGTTGGGTGCAAAGCTCCCGCTGTGGCTGGTGGACACGGTGCTGGGCTTCTTGTTGCTGAGCCCCATGGCATCCATGGACTGGCTGCGGCTCCGGATCACCCTCTGTGGAGGGGAGAGATGGGGGTGGAGGAGGCACACCCGCCCCTTTCGGGAAACCCAGGAGCCCAGGCACCTGGTCCCTCCCCATCAAAGCCATATAAAGTCTCTTCCTGCGAGGCCACGTGACCAAGGGTACTCTGGGCATTGACTCTATCACCAGCTTGCTGGGTCTTCACCTCTCGGAGCCTCCTTTTTCTGCTTTTAAGCCTCGCAGAAGATGGCAGGCAATGGCTGACAGGAAGGGAGCACAGAGAACCTTCTAGAAGCAAAACTAGATTCCTTCCCTGATGAGCTCTTAGAACTTTCTTTCCTTGCCCTCTCCCCACTTTTTCACAGCCTATCTTGGAGGGATGCTTGCCGGGTAGAGGGGGGTGGGTGCATCGCAGCTGCTCTCCCTCAGCCCGCCCTAGATGGCTCCTGCCATGCCCATTTGACAGACGGACTCCGCTGCCTTGTGAAGATCCTTCCACCTCAGCCAGACTCATCACCCCAGCAACCCCCAGTTGGGGGGCCTCCCACAAAGGCAGCCCGCCTCAGCATTGTTCCCTGCCACTTCACCGGTCTCCAATGGGCAGAGGCAGCTTCGCAGGCTATTTTATTTTATTTTGGTTTTTCGGCCACACCTGGTGGTGCTCAGGGCTTACTCTGGACTCTACACTCACAGATCACTCCTGGTGTGCTTGGGGGACTGTATGTAGTGCCTGGGATCCAACCTAGAGCGGCCACGTGCAAGGCATGTGCCCTATCCGCTGTACTACTTCTCTGGTCCTCAGGATCTCTTTCTATGGCTGGTTGCTCACCTCAGGCAAGAGCAGAACTGGGTAGCAGGGCTAATCCCCTCATGCAAAGTCCCAGTTCCAGCTCTGCAGCTTGCCCTGGGATGGGAGTGTGGCTGGAGATGATGGAGGGCGTGGGGTGAGGAGGCCCTATCCTGGAAGGAAGAGGATTGGCCCCTCACTAGGAGGTCTGTGGCTGAAAGAGGGCAGAATTATTCCTTTTGCTTTCTTACACTGCACACATCAGCCTATTTTACAAATAATGCCCCCAGCTGTCTGGGGAGCTGTATGCCATTATCTGAGCCTTTTGATAAGGAGACAAGGCTCAGAGAACCTGAGTCTGGTTGAAGCTGAGCTAAGATTTAAGTTGAACCAGAGATGGTCAAGGTTGGCCAAACTAGCCAGACCCCTCTTCCACGGTGGCTGGGTTCGCATACCCCTTTCCAGAGGTCAGAGGTCTTCTCACTGCCTACGTCCTGACCTGGCAGCCAACATCCTGAGCACCAGCAGCACCTTGCTGTCACCCAAAGGGCCCCTGTCTTCAGGAAGTCTCCCAGGCAAACGACTCCCAAACCCCAGGTCTCCAACCACAATCTCCCTTTTTATACTCCTAAACAGTCACAGATCACCCCAAACTCTTAAGTCCACCCTAAAACCATCTGACGTTTTTCATCACCTTTACCCAAGTACCAGATGCTAGGTACTGTGTCCACTTGGTCCCTTGCCAGGTGGACACAGTAGGCCTGGGCCTCTTAATCCCTCTCCAGAACATGCCCCCACCCCCACACTCAAAGTATCTGCTTCCAGCCACCCTTCCAAGCCTATTCCTAGCTCCGCCCAACCAGAGCCACACCTCCAACCCAATCCAATGGGAGAACAGCTCTAGCCACACCCAAATCTTCAGAGCCACGCCCCCATGACGGTCCAATGAGAATCCACCTCTGGCCACGCCCCCAACCCAATCCAATGGGAGTCTACCTCCAGCCCCGCCCCCAATCCAATCAAAAGGGAGTCTACCTCTAGCCACACCCCCAACTCTCCATAGCCCCGCCCCAACTCCAACAGAAGCCCGCCCATAGCCACGCCCCCTCACACCCAGCGCCCGGCTGCACTTCCCCACCCCCAAGGGAGCCCCCTCGAGCCTCTAGCCAGAATCCAGACCGAGCAGAACCCCCTCCCGGACTTCACCCCAGCCCCACGCAGGCCTGCCCACCCAGGCACACAGGCCCTTCACCTTGAAAGACTCGAAGAAACCACCGCTGCCGCCGCCGTTCTCCATCTTGTCCTCGTCGCCGCCCAGGCCCATCATGGACTGGCTGTGGATGTGCAGCTCCTCATAGAGTGTCTCCAGAAGGGCGGCCCGCGTCCGCTCCTGGGGGGCAGGCCAACGCGTCAACCCCCACTGTCATGGACAGCGGGCGGGGCCGGGCGCCCCGGGGGCCTCTGCAGGTCCGACAGCGCCCCCACGCCTCACTGCCCTCCCCAAGAACCAGCTTCATGCCCCCCAGCCCGCCCTCCCCCCCGCTGGTGTGCTCTGAGCCAGACTGCCCAACCGCAGAGCCCCTGCGAGGGGTTAGGCCTGGAAACGCCCGACTTCCTCTCCCTCAAGCCCAGCTCAACTCATTTTCAAGATCCATTCCCCCAGCCCCCAACCCCAAGTCCTTCCCAAGGTCAGGGTCAGAACCCAGCTTTTTCTTCCCGAGGCAGCACTTAAATAACAAGTGGGGGGTGGGGAGTGGAACTCAGCCCCAACAACCCAGCCTCACCTCCAGTTTGGCAAATTTCTCTGCTTTGTAGCAGGCGTATTCAGCATTGATCAGTTTTGTCAGCAAAAATTCCTGGAACTCAGGCCCCTGGGAGCCAGGAGGTGGAGAGGGGGAAGGGGGAGGGGCAGGTGAACACAGGATCAGTTAGTCAGGGCCGAGCTCCTGAGCCTTAGCCTGCTGAGTCTGGGGGTCACTCCCAGAGGGCACCTCCCCAGGGAAGCAAACCCCTCTTATGTAAGGGGCTAATCCTGGGTGGAGACTGAAGCCAAATTTCAAACTAGGGCTTCTGAAAGGTAAGAGATATATGACTCCTCCCCCAAACGTTTTAAGTATCCCCACCCAGAGATGCTTGGGTGGGGATACTTCTGGCATGTTGCTAAGGGGTCCCTGTGGTGCTGGGCTTGAACCTGGGGCTCCTGTGAGTAAAGCCTGTGCTCCATGCTTTGGAGCTCCCTGGCCCATACACTGTGCTCATTTTTTTTTTGTTTTTTTTGGGGTTACACCCGGAGATGCTCAGGGGTTACTCCTGGGTTTGTACTCAGGAATCACTCCTGACAGTGCTCGGGGGACCATATGGGATGCTGGGAAACGAACCCGGGTCGGCTGCATGCAAGGCAAACGCCCCACCCGCTGTGCTATTGCTCCAGCCCACATTGTGCTCCTTTTTACTTTTTCTTGTTTGCAGTTCCTGGGATGAAACCCGGGGTCTCACACATGCGAGGCCAGTGCTTCATCAGCACTGAACCCCACCCCTGGCCCTACCTCCCCGAACATTTCATAAGACTGTCAGATCATCTGATAAGCTGGGTCCATGGTGAACATGTGAACACTACAGCTTTTCCTGTGACTATAAATAGTGGCCCTATTTTCACCAAGCTGATTTCTACACAGCTGATGAGGTCCCAGTGACCCCAGTATGCAGTGAGGCTTCCACTTCCTTCCTCTAGGGTGGAATGTGCACCATCCCCACCCCCACCCTTTCAGTCCTGCTTGGCCCATGAGGGCGGGTGGGGAGCAGGGGGCAGCCCCTTACCTTCCTAAACACAGCTGGGTCTGGGAGCGGGGGCCCAAAGAAGGGCACATCATCTCTAGCAGTGACGGACACCTGGAAGGGAGGGAAACTGTCTCTGTGCCTTTCACAGCCCTCGGATATCCCTGATTCACCCTCCTGCCCTGTGTTGGGCAAGAAGCAGGAAGAATCCACCCCTTGGGGCGGTGGGGAGCTTCATGGTTGCCGGTGAGAGAGAGGCCGGAAGTTTAGTAGTCCCTGTTCTCAGTCCAGACCTGGGGTGCTGGGACCTCAGGAATCACAGAGGTGGAGATAGAGGAGGGATGAGGTGGGGTATGGGGGGGGGGGGTTGGGGGGACAGAATGGGCAGGATGGGGCCCTCCGTCATCAGAGCAAGGGTCCAGGCACCTTCTGGACAGGTCTCCTGTGGACAGTGGAGGAAAGGAGAGGCAAGGGTATGACTGAACCCGCAGCCTGGGGGGACTCCAGGGTCACCCACCTTGTAGAGGGGACCATCGGGGCCCCCGGTCTCTGCCTGCACTACCACATAGGCATGCAGAAAGTTGGACGCGATCATGTCGGGCACGAAGGGCGTGTTCTCGTCCTGGAAGACCACGGCCACGATGTCGTTCCCGATGTGTCGCTTGCGCTGCAACTGAGCACAGGGTCCGGGGCCTTCAGGGCTGGGGGGCGGAGCGGGGGGCCGCGGGGAACAGGCAGGGACATGTCTCGCTGCAACTGAGCACAGGGTCCCGGGTCTTCAGAGTCATGGGGGGGAGTTGGGGGCGGGCAGGGCGTGTCTGAGGAAAAGGGTCTCCCCCAACAAAAAATAGGGGAGGAAACTTACTTCTGATTTTGGGGCTACACCCAGCTGTGCCCAGGGCTTAATTCTGGCTCTGCACTCAGGGGTCACTCCTTGGTGGGCTTGGGGGACCACGTGGGGTAGTGGGGTTTGGACCTGGATGAGCTGGTTAAGTGTGCCATCTGCTACGCTGTCATTCCAGTCCCCAAGAAAAATACCTTAAAATCATGTTTGCTTCCTAGAATCCTGTGGCAGATAAGGAAACTGAGGCCAAGAGGGTGGGAACGTGCAAGCTCCACAGAGTGGAATGGCGCCAACCTGGGCTCCACCCCTCAGCCCTTCTCCTACCTAAACTCCCCAAACGGACCGGTTTCACTCGACATCTGTTCACGTCGCCCTAGGAGGGTCTTATTAAAAGAAAGCCACGGAAAACAAGACCACCTCTCTCATTTCTCACGCTCTCCCTCTGGGACTGATGCTGGGGTACGGAAGAGTACTGTACAGCGAGCGCCGAGGGGCTGAACCCGGGAACTCCATGGGTTCTGGCCAGAGCCGTACACGGCCTGCTCCCTTCAGACCTTGGCAGCAGGCAGGAGCTGTTCTCCCCAGGAGCTCGTCCCCCTGCTCCCCCCTTCGCCTCCACGGCCTCCAGGCACTTTACCTTGAAAGCTCTTCCGCTTTCTTCCCACCTCGGCCAAATCTGGTGTCCCCTGGGTGACCGTGCAGGGCTAGGTCCTGGAGCCCGCGAGCCATCTAGGGTGGCTCTCTAGCTGGCCTGAGTCAGCTGCCCTGGCCAGCCCCTACACATGGCCACCGGCGCTGGTCCAATGCCATGGCCACTCGACTCCCTGCCCAGCCGGAGTCCCCCCCATGTCGGGAGGACAGGTAGTTTCCACCACCATGTCCCCAATCCCCCTGGACCTGATGTGGTGGGGCCTGACAGGACAGGCAGATGGAAGAGAGGGCAGACAGGTGGGAACCAGTTGGGGCAGGGGGTGGGCTACCTGTTGGGCGTCCCCCTCTGTGTAGGGCAGCTTGGTGGACACGTGGAACATGATCTCCTTGCTGCGGAAGTTGCAGTACACAGACTCGGTCCCCGTCTGCCCATGTGTCACGTCCAGGCCTCCACGGAACCTAGCCCAGGGCCCCCCGGAGAGGCCACAGCTCAGTTTCCAGGCCCAGTCAGGCACCATGGGGCCAGGCTGGGGTGAAAGGAGTGGGGGTGGGGGTGCAGGAACACACCCCATGCTGCTGATCCTGCCCGGACACTCACCCCTTAAAATCCTGCAGCTTGACCTTCTGACCAAGAAACTCCAGGAACTCCACAAAGGCGGGGCTCTCCTCGTTGGTGCTGAAGAGTTCCTCCTCGGACGTCTGCGGGCCACACAGGGGTCACCGAGGGTGCCTTCCGCAGCCCCCACCCCCCACCCCTCACACCCCAGTCTCAGCCGGAAGGAGGCTCTCCGTGGCCCAGGTGCGGCAGATGGGCTCACCTGCCCAAGCTTCTGGTAAATGACTCCAAATTTGAAGTTATTGCTGATAACATGCTCGTCGAAGGTGACGATGAGACGGGAGGCCTGGGGGAGACAGAGAGGACCGCGGTGGGGACAGGTTGCTTCTTCAGGGGGTCACTGGCTGTTGTTACCACGTGCCAAGACGTGAGTCCGGCACTGCATGGCACCACACACCACCATCCCCTCCACCCTGCAGACAAGTCCAAGGAGAAGAGACCTGGTTCCAAGCTGGGCAGAGCCAGCAGCCGTAGGGGACCATGTAGGCCTGGAAGTGGGCGTGTCTGTGGATTCCAGGGGTAAGCTCCTGGTTCCAGAGATTCTGCCCAGGAGCCAAACTCTTGCTCTCTGGAACCCCCAACTTACTCCCTGGCCCTTCTGCGAACTCCCCAAATGTTCTGCAACATTAACCCTTGGGCTATACGGTCAAGCCCCCCACAACTGGCGGCAGAGCCTGGAGCAAGTTCCCCTCCTCACGCCAGGCCTGTTTCCTCTTCTGTAACAAAAGGTGAGACCTGACTTCCGAGGTGGCATTCCCTTGATGTGGTGGCCTTCCTGAGCCTCACCACCCTCCAGGGACCACACCCACGCTAAAGTTCAACCTGAGCTGGAAGGGTTCTTCTCTTTTTCTCTTTGTGTTTGTTTTGGGCCCTCCCGTTGATCATCGATTTGCTCGAGCGGGCCCAGTAACGTCTCCATTAGAGACTTTGTTTGTTTTGGGGACACAGATGGTGATGCTCAGGGGTAACTGCTTGGGGAAATCACTCCTGGTGGTGCTCGGAGGACCATATGGAGTGCTGGGGATTGAACTTGTGTCAGTCGCACGCAAGGCAAATGCCCTACCCGCTGTATGATCTCTCTGGCCCTGGAAAGGTTCCCTCTTATAGGCAACTTGCCTGGTTTGCTAAAGCCAGAGCCTCTACACACTCTCACAGGGCCAGGCATCCAGCATGCAGCTCCAGAGCCAGACCCAGCAGCCGTCCAGGGGACAGCGGGCACATGTGTGCCTCGGTCACTCCTGGCCAGAGGCATGGCCAGTGGAATCCTTGACTCAGGAGCATGGACTGTTCTGTTCTCCAGAGGGTCCCCAAATAGTACTGAGAGTGTGTGGGCTTGCCGCCAGGCCGTATAGCCCGAGGGTTAAAGGGCGACCATCCTGTCTGCTGTGCATCCTTGGGGTAAGGCATTAAGCCTTTCTGGGCCTCTAGGGCCTCTTCTGCAAGCTGTGGACTTTGTAGGGCTCATGTGAGGGTTAATGCGATGTCTCGGGGAAAATACAATGCATAGCGCAGGGGCCCATCAAAGCTTCCCTGTGACTCCCCCAGCCCCCAATCAGTGCGCAGGGCTCATACCCAGCCGTACCTTGGGGTAGAGCACTGGGTAGAACCGATCCACATTCACGTCTTCACACACCAGCTGCAGGAGAAAAGGGAGCACTGAGTGTGGAGCCGGGAGGGGGGCAGAGGACAGCAGCAGAGGACCAGGACTGGGGGACAGAGAAGTGGGGTCCCCAGAGGTGCCGGATGCATGGAGGGGAAAGCAGCCCATCGGAACAGCATGGCAGACATCACGGGCACACGGGAGTGACAGCAGCCTTGTCCTGGAGCTCAGAGACTGCGGAGGTACCACTGGGCCTCCTGCTGGGCGCCCACCCATGGGGGCTCAGGCCTGCGGGAATGGGGGTCTTTTTTCTTTCTTTCTTTCTTTCTTTCTTTTTTTTTTTTTTCGGTCAATCCCAGCGATGCACAGGGGTTACTCCTGGCCCTGCACTCAGGAATCACTCCTGGTGGTGCTCAGGGACCATATGGGATGCTGGGAATTAAACCTGGGTCAGCCACGTGCAAAGCAAATGCCCTACCCACTGTGCTCCAGCCCCGAGCATGGGGGTCTTACCTTTGCCATTTGAACCACATTGGGGAACTCAGTGAGGCAAGAGATAGGGATGACATCGTGGTATGTTCGGCACTTGGTCCTGGGAGAAGAAACGTCATGGTGAGGCATCTGGGCATGGGGAAGAGGGATGGGGGCAGACCCAGAGACAACCAAGCCTGGCTGAGCCACTAACTTGCCATGTGTCCCCAGGCAAAGCCCTGACCCTCTCTGGTCCTGGACTGCACAGAGGAGGCAAGTGAGACAGTTATTCCCATGTCTCAGGGTCCTTTTGCCCCGCCCTCACCTGAGCAGCAGTCGCAGGTGCTCCTGGTCCCCAATGACATCATACTTGAGGGAGAAGACCAGGTGGCCCAGGGCCGTGTCCAGTGAGTAGTAATTGAAATGTTCCTGCGTGGTGGAGGGAACAAGGCAGGAGGTGAGGCTGAGCTTCCTGAAAGCCGGGGGTCCCGGGTGGGAGTCCTGCACTCAGCAACAGGGGCCGCAGCTCCCAGGGTGCTGTGTCGAATGCCAGCTCTCCACTGGCCAGCTGGGCAGCCTGAGGTCAGTCATCTCAGCCCACCTGCGTGTGCCTCAGTTTCCCCATCATTAACCTGGAGCGGGGGATCAGTGCAGTAGACTTGGCTCTCCGGGTAATCCACGGCGCTGTCTGCACACCTGCCTCCCTGCAACACCCTTCTCAGGGATGGGCACACAGTAGGTGCTCAATGAAAACATGCCAACCGAAGGGCCGGGAAGACTGCCCTGGTGGCAGAGCACGTGCTTTGTACGCATGTGTGAGTCACTGAGCTCCATCCCCAGCACCGCGAGCATCCCGAGCACTACCAGGACCTGGCAATGATCCATCAGGTCTGCTCTGGGCTGGGACCCCTAGCCCCAGCACTACTGGACATGGGCCCTATTTTTAAGAATGCCGACGGACGGTTCACTCGTTGGTTCTGTGGCCCCTGAAGCAGAGCCTGTGAGAAACCGGAAGTGAAGCACCTCATGAACACCCCGGGCGGCTGGCCTGGCCGGTTTCCATCCTCCTGCCTCACCTGGAGAGGGAGAGGAAACGGCAGGACGGGAAGAACCCTCCCAGAGGGTGTGAGGGCAGCTGTGGGGGAGGTGGTGCCCCCAGAGAGGAGCCCCAGGCCCACGTCTCTGTCCAGGTGGGGGAAGCCCCAAAGTCAAGGGCGGCAGAGTTGGAGATCGCACCGTCAGCCTGTCCTGGCTCCCCACCTGCCCCGGCCTGGGCATAGGGCCAGCTCCGCAGCCACACCTGCCCGGGAGTCACCCTGGAAGTATGTCCTGTTGAGACATGAACGCCAGGAGCGGCAGAGAGCTCATCGGGCTGAGTGCAGGACAAGCTCCGGGTTCCCCCCCACCCCCGCTTTGAAAACAGATCAATAAAACTAATAAACACAGGAGGGCAGGCGGGTGCAGGACCAGGGAATGAGCCCACAAAACATGCCACTTGGGGAATCTTGGAGCCGGCGCAGTGCGGAGGGCCCCAGTATTGGCCCCAACAGCAGAGAGGGAGCGTCAGGCACCTGGGCTGAGGGCGGGCGCTCCTCACACACCCCGCTGTCCAGAGCCCGAGAGTCAATGCCCAAAGTCACCCCACCCACCCCTGCGGGGGCCAGGCCCTCACAACTGGAGTCTCAGAGGAAGGTCAGAGAGGACCAGGGCCACTTCCGACATCAGTAATTAACTGCGTGGCCTTGACCAAGTCACTTCCTCTTTTTGAGCCTCTGAGCCTCTGAATGTACAAAACAGGCCAGCCCTGAGCTCATTGAGCAGTTATAAGGGTGGCACAGTAACAGCTCACCTTGCTGCAGCCCTGCCCGTGCCAGGCATGGTCCTCCAGACTTTGCATGTGTTTTTACTATTTCCAGTTCGAGAAATGAGGAAACAGGCCCGGGAAGGCTCAATCGCTTGCCCAAGGGCACGCCATCACGAAGGAAAGGGCCGGGAGACTGTACGGAGCCCAACGTGGGGTCCAGCTCCAGCATCACACAGTCCCCTGGGCACTGCCAGGTGCAGCCCTAGAGGCTTCTGAGCACTGCCAGGATGACCCTGTAGGTCCCTAAGAACTGCTTGTGTATCCCTGGCCACTTCAGGACCCGAGCAGCACCACGTTCTTGGGCCTCCATGGAACCATTGGCCTGACAGGCTGAAGAGCGCCAGGGGACCCCTGGGGCCTCCTGAGGATCCCCTGGGAGGCCCAAATGTCCAAACCTTGATACATCAGAGCCCACATGATATTCAACCCCTCACTAGCAGATGAGAGCACCAGCCATGGAAGCTGACGCACACGAGGTCCTGCCTGCCACCCCTCCAGCTCCCACAAGCTGGCCTGGGGCTCCAGTGGAAGGCCCTTGGGCAGGGAGTGACTAGGCAAGAGACCTGGCTGGGGTCTGGGATGGTGGGCAGGGGCTGCCTCCAGCCAGGTCCTGCCAGGACATTCCAGTGTCCTCTGAGCCCCTATCTCAAGCGGCCCGAGGACAGGGGCTGGGTCCACCCAGTGCTGTAGGCAGGGTCCAGAGCCCTGCGGGCACTCAGGGCCATACACTGAGGGTTTCCATTTACACTGTTGTGCTGGATGCCCTTCTAACCCCTGACCAGTGTCTTCTCGTGAAGGGCTCTGGCAGACTCCTGAGGGGGTCAGGAGAGCGAAGACACAGAGGCATGAGTGGTATGTCCAGAGTCCCTGGTGGCAGATGGCAGAGGTGGGGCACGGGGGTCCTGGCCGGCCCCTGCTGTGGCCCACGCTGCCTGCTACCATCCACGTTTGCTGGGTGGGTCTGAAGATCTAAACACGCGCCTGGGACTGACACGTGCTGCCCGGCTCAGTCCCGGGTTTCGACGCCCTGCTGCCCACCACCGGTGGTCACCCACCTTGCCGAGGAAGTGCTTCCGGTAGATGCGGGCCGTGGGGTTGCACTCCAGCTTCACCTTGGCCGTGGGGGACTGCAGTGGCTCTGTCTCAGGGACGCTGGTGATCTCGTGGTTGGTGCCTTCGATCCAGTAGCCCCCAAACTGGGGCAGTAGGATGAGGGGGAAGGGCCCTTCTCGCCCCAGAACCTGAGAAGCGGCTCAGTTAAAAACCTTACCGAGGGCTTCCCATCACCCCTGCCCCAGCTCAGACTTAAGGCCATCTCTGCCATGGTGTCAGGGAACAAGTTGGGGTCTCCCTGCCTGGGCTCGCACCCGCCCCTCCAGGGCACCCCTCCCTCCTCTCCGCACCACCACCACCACCACCACCACCACAGGACCCTGCACCCAACCCGTATGGTGCCCCGCAGGGGGCCGAGGCAGGTAGAGCTGAGGCTGAAATGTCTGTTCCAAAGGGATCCACGGTTCTGCAGCCCCTAGCAGGGCCTGTGTCAGGCTCCTGACAGGGAAGGGAACCCCAGTCTCCCAGACCCCTGGTGGGAGGGCGTCCAAGACTAGGGCGAGGACGAGCTCTGGGTGCAGCGGTTACCTCGTGGACGCTGGGGTATGGAATGTAGTCCTCCTCCGTCTGCAAAACACAAGCCACGGCCCTGCTGGGGTGCAGGGGAGGGCTGCACCCCCCACCCCTCACAGGCAGGAGAGCCCCAAGACAAGGGCCTGACCGGCTTTGACCCCCTGCATGTAGGGGCATCAGGGGGCTCTGCCAGGCTGGGGAAAGGACACCCCAACCTCCCTCCACACATGGGCCCTCTGGATCACATCAGCGGGGACCAGGGGACCTTAAGCATGGAGAACAGAGGCACAAGTCCCCAATTTGGGGGTGTGCATCTGCGATGGAGCCCGAGAACCGATATTTCTCACAAGCACCCAGGCGGTCCTGAGGCTGTGGGGGTGAGGACCCTTGCCCACCACAGCAAAGCACCGGGTTCCGTCATGAACCTCCCTCCAGCCTGGGCCCACCCTCCAGGCCCAGCCCCGGTCTTCCAGGGTTGCTGGGACCCCAGCTCACCCCGCAGCTCCCACCCCAAGAAACCCCCCACCGAGTAGAACAGGAGCTTCCTGGCAGTCTCTTCCCAGGTGGTGACATGGACCCCCTTCCCTCCTCTTTTCCTCTCCTTCCCCCATCCTCCCCTCCCTTCCCTCCTCCCCAATTCCCACCCCCTCCTCCTCCTTACTCTCCCCTCCCCCTTCCGTCCCCTCCCCTTTTCCTAGTCAGGCTTTCTTCCCCACCTCCTTAGCTTCCCCTGGTCTCCTCTCCTCCCCTCCCCCCCATCAGCCGAGAAGGGCTCTGGCAGGAGCACTGCTGAGTGGGCGGGCCCTAAGCTTCCTAAATCTGGGTTTAAGTCAGCCTGCAAGTGCATGGTAAGTGGCTTCAGGGACAATTTAGGGCACAGCCTGTGAGGATGAGGCTGTGGCTCTGGGCTGGAGGAGCCTGGTGGGGAGGGTAAGCTGACAGAAGGTGCCCTCACCAGCCTGCACCTGGCTAGCAGGGAGATCACTTCCTCACGTGCCTGGGCAGTACCGCCGCAGCCGGTGCCCCATCCAGGGGAGGTGGCTTCCCTTCCCCCCTCCCCCAGGTCTCCCTGCTGGAAGCAGGCCTCCAGGCAGCCAGCCCGGCAGCTGAGGGGGGCTGAGGGGCGGGGCTGGGGGCGGGGCCACACGCCTCAGACCTACTTTGAGGGGCGGTGGGAAGGAGCAGCGCTGTTCATCCATCCTGCTTCCCTGCAAAGAGAAAGGCAGCACACCATGGCCCCCCACCCCAGCTGCACCCGGAACTGCACAGAGGTGCCGGGGTGACTCCAAGGGAAGGGTGTTGGCTGGCCCCAGCCACCCAGGACTCTATGCCGGGCCCAGGGAACCTTTGGTTGGTGGCGGCTGTGGCAGGGAGGGACGCGGCTCTGCAGGACCGTCTGTTGAGCCTGGAGTGCGGGCAGGGGTGCGTGCACAGGACATGTGAGCATGCAAAGGGCAGTATCCGTGCTACCACACGGCTCCAAGCTGCTGAGGGAGGGGCGATAGCCGGCCGGGGAGGGGGAAGGGGAGCAGAGAGACAGGCGGGGAGGCTGAGGGGGCAGGAGAGGGGTTTGCAGGGGGAACTGACACCCTGCGGAGCTCCTGCCTTGCTCTGGTCCCTCTCACTCCCCACCCCCACCACCTCACACACAATGACATAGAAGCCAGGCAAGGGTCTGGAAGAACAGGGGGAGGGGTGGAGGGGGAGGGAGGGAATGACTTGGGGGGAGGGGGCCCAGGGCCCAGCTGGCTGGCCCCTGCCACCTGCAGCTCTGCCTCCAGGTCTCTGTCCTCTCAGGACACGGCTCAGGGTCAGTGTGGGGGTTGGTTTGTGTGGGGGAGGGAGGGGTGAGCCACACAGGATGGGAGTGAGCCCGGTGCCCTCAGCCACAGGGAGTCCTGCACAGCCAGTCCCCTCCTCTGGCGTGGCCGTGGACTCTATCTGCTCAGAGAGGGGAGGGCAGAGACCCCACAGTACTGCCCGCCCCTACCCCCAACCCCAGCCCTGTTCCCTGCTCCGGACCTCAGAGCAAGCTCACCTGCATCTTTTCAATCATCTCAAACAGATCTGTGTTCTGCAACAGAGAAGGGGCGCAGGGTCAGGTCAGGCCTGAGGGCGGGCCACTGCACCTGCCGGCCGCCCCCCCTCCCGAATCTGGTCCCTGCACCTCACCACCACCCATCACTGGGGGCCTCCATGAGCAGGAAGCAGGATGAGGGAACGTAGGAGCAGCCAGGAGGAGGCTCTCTGAAGCTGATCCCCACAGCATGACCAACAGCCCCACCCCACTAGATCCCCTTCCGCAGAGCCTTTCCGCCTTTCCCCGTCCCCCCATAAGCAGTAGGGGCTGCGGGGCTGGGGGATCCATATTACCAGATGTCTCAATGGCCCGCATGTACTCGCCACCACTCATGCCTAAGCCAACTTTCCCTCAGGCTGACCAGGGCACACGCGGGGTTAATCCAGGCATCTGCCAGCTGCTGCGCTTGGCAGCTCTGGCCTCTCCAGAGCCAACTCCCTGGGAGCCTTCCTGGAAGGCGGCATCCCCGCTGGCTGGGCTGGGGGCTGGGCTTGGGAAGCCCCTAAGGGGCTCCAGCATGATGCCCCTCCCCCAGCACCTCCCAGGCCTCGGGCTCCGATGCCCTGAGCCCACACCCATCAAGCAAGGACACACACACACACACACACACACACACAAACACGCATATGTGCACGCGTGCACACACACGCAGGGCTGTACACCATGAAACACACATTCTCCTGTGCTCCAGCGCTTTTCCCTACACTTCTCACTTTCTCTCAAACACACACAGAAATTTTAAAACAGTCTCCCTGGGCTGGAGAGAAAATACAGAGGTTAACGTGCTTGTCTTGCCTACAGCTGACCCTAGCTTAATTTCAGCACTGCATCTGGTGTACCCCCAAACACTGCCCAGAGTGACCCCCCCAACATAGAGCCAGAAGCAGCCTACAAGTACTGCCAGGTATGGTCCAAAGACACCCCCCACCACACAAACACACACTAAAATAAAAATAAATAAAACCCAAGCATAGTACCTACGGAGTCCGAACACACAGTGTCTTAAGCTCAGCATCGCATGCTAACACAAATGCACGTGTCTGTGTCCTCAGCTTCACAATGTACACAGTCACAACACCCAGGGCTCTGTGCTGTGCCAGCCACACACGCAAATACCAGCCCGCCCTGGCGCAGATCATCACAGCAGCACTGCACACGGAACAAACCCACGCGGGTCCACGTGCTGAGACACAACAGTGCACACTCACTCACAGACACGAGCAGAGTCCCCCTGCCAAGGACACGCACCCTGAGCAACAGACACCGTCACCTGCAGCCCACAGCAACCAGGGAGTCTCGAGAACAAGAGAAAGCAACTTCAGAAAGGGCTGATCAGGGATGCGGTGTGGGGAGATGGGGGCTGAACATCCCCCTCTGAGTGCATGCCACTCTCCTGCCCTCTACTTTGTCTGTCTGTCTGTCTATCTGTCTATCTCTGTCTCCTTCTCATACAGATCTGCTAAAAGTCACCAGACACAAACACCTCTGGTGCGCAGCCTGACTGTCCAGCAGCAAACCCACCCGTAAAAGGCACTCTGGGCACCCTCTGACCGGAGGCCACCTACAGCCACACCCAACACCTCTGAGTTTACGACTCCACAGGCTGGCAGAGAACTAAAGACCCACAGATGCGCACCTATGGTAGACAAACACGCCTGTCAACCAATACCAGGCACGACAGCAGCCCTGGATGGGTACCTAGGTCAGCCACACACCAGCCCAGGGCAGAGCCCAGCAGGACTGGGAGTTGGGGGTGGGGGAGAAGAGGGCAGTTGATGTTCCCCCCCACCTCCGCCAGCCCTGGCACCCCGCACGGGAAGTCACAGCCATGTAAGCACTGACACATGGCACTGTCACCCTACAGCACGCAGAGCAACAAGTGACACCCACACCGCCGGCCTCTTCGGACGCCGCCCTGACACTCGCAAGGCTGTGAGCGGTCTGCGGGCCCCCCGCCCCAGCCGGCGGCCCGCACGGCCAGACCCCCTCCGACAGCCCGTGTGCCACCCCCGGCCACGGCCACGCTGCTCCCTGGACGGCGGCGGCGAGAGCCCAAGGCCCGGACCCGGGGGCAGGGGTGCGCCCGGTGTCAGCCCAGAAGCTAACACACCCTCCATGACGGAGCCTCCCTGGCACCCCCGCCCTGGCCGGGGCACAGCCCGCCGGCTGCCGCGGGACTCGGCGGACCCGGCGCGGGCGGACCCTCGGGGCCAGGCCGCCCCCTCCCCCGCAGACCTCACCTGCCAGCCGGCCCCAGCGGGCAGCGAGCCCCTCCGCGGACGACCGGGGGGCGCCAGGGACCGCGGCTGCGCCATCCCGAGCCCGGCCGGCGGACGCTGGACCCCGCGCGCCCCAGCCCGGCCCCCGCAGCGCCCGGCTCCGCGCTCCCGGCTCCCGGCTCCCGGCTCCCGGCTCCCGGCGGCGCGTTGCTGCGCTGGGCTCGCCGGGCAGCCGGGACCGGAGGGGGCGGGGCGCCAGGTACGGCCCGCGCGGGGCTGGGCGGGGCCAGGGATCGGGGGCGGGGCCTCCGGAGACCACACCCCCGCCGCCGCCCGGCTCGCCGGCCACGGGCCGGGCCGGGCTGGGCGGGGCCGCGGGGGTCCGGGGCGGGGACTCCGGAGACCACGCCCCCAGCCGCCCGGCTCGCCGGCCCCGGGCCGCGCGCCTGCGCTCTCCCCGCTAAGGGCGCACCCCCGCGCCCGGGAATCCTCGGGCGCCGCGCCCGCCGCCCTTAGCCCGCCACCTCAGTCTTTCCAGACTCAGGCTACAGGAACGGTGCTTTAGGCACCGGCTATGAAGCCGGGTAGGAGGAGAAGGGGGTTACCAAGAAAAAACAGCTTCTTGGGGCTGGAGCAATAGCACAGCGGGTAGGGCGTTTGCGTTGTACGTGGCTGACCCGGGTTCGATTCCCAGCATCCCATATGGTCCCCTGAGCACCGCCAGGAGTGTAATTCCTGAGTGCAGAGCCAGGAGTAACCCCTGTGCATCGCCGGGTGTGACCAAAAAAGAGAAAAAAAAACAGCTTCTAGGGAGCAGCTACTTAATGTGGCGCGCCCTTGGCTAGCCCCATCCTCACCGCGTCACACAGGAGGTATCGGGCCATGTGCCATTCCCATGTTACGAATAAGAGGGCCGAACCCATGAGGTCCAACACCGGGCTCCAGCCTGTCACACAGCCAGGGAAAGGGGACACTTCTAGGAAAAGGCGGGATCTGTCCTCCATCCTCCTCGCCTTGCAAGGCTCACGAATGCCTAGCCACACTGGGCATATTCCCATCCCACCAGACCCCAGAGGAGACAGCCCCAGTCCTTGGGTGACTCTGGCCTTGGCCCCATAGTATGGCGCTGACTTTGGGACCTGTGGGTTTAGGCCTGGCCCTTGCCCTGACTCACTTAGTGAACCTGAACGAGTCTGGCACAGATGTAGGCCTCCCCAGTAACATCTAAGGCCTAGAGGGCCCTTCCAGCTGCCTGGACAGTGAGAACAGCACTCACACCCTCCTCCCCAAACTGGCATCACCTCAGCGCCAGCTGCTTTCCACCCGAGGGGCAAGGCTACCCACCAACTCTGTGCCCACCCTCTCTTCAGAATCCTAATGTTGCTGCAGGAAGTGGACCAGCCACTTCCGCCCCAGAATCCAGGGTCTGGAAGGCCCTGCACCTTCCTTTCCCCCAGACTTGGCCCTGCGTCAGGCTGGAGCCCAGGGAGCCAGCAGGAACTCCGGAGATATGTGTTCCAGACACGGTGTAGCTTGTTTTTAATAATTAACGGCAGCAAATATTGATTTATGCAGGCACTTCCAGGCCTGAGCGCTTCCGGGCACCCATCGAAATGCAGCCGGAGAAACATCCATTCCCACACTTGCCCTGCGGGAGGCCAAATCTGCTGGGACCACCCAAGCTGGGTGTGTGCCAGCAGAGTGCACACATGCACGTGTAGCTGTGCACGTGTGAGTGTATGTGTGCATGTAGCTGTGTGTTTGTATGAGTCTGCGTGTAGCTATGTGTGTAAGTCTGTATGTGCGTGCAGTTGTATATGTGCAAGATTCTGTGTGTGAATCTGTGCTTACAGTTATATGTGCATGTGGCTTGTGTGTCTGTGTACACACCCAGCTGTGTGAGAGTGTGAGTACAGCTGTGTGTTTGTGTGTGAGAATCTGTGTGTGCATGCAGCTCTGTGTGAGTGATGTGTGCGAGTTTGCATGTGAGACGGGAGGAGGCCGTGCACAGCTTCCTGGGTCTGTGTAACAGTATGGTGTACCTGTGTGTCCATTATGTGCATGTGCACACAGGAGCATGGGTCTGTGTGCTTGTCTGTGCTGCTCAGGTGAGCATGAGTGCACTGTGACTGCAGTGAGGTGCAAATTTCTCAATCACCAAGTGGAGAAAGCCTGGGGCAGTGCAGCCTGGAAAGCACGTGAGTGAGTGAGTGCGTGTGTGTGTGTGTGTGTGTGGGGGGGGGGGGGACAGAGACAGAGACAGGGACAGAGACAGAGACAGACAGACAGTGTGTGCTTCGACCAGAGGAACATGGAAATATGGCTAGGTGTCCACATGACAGCGCCACTTCCCAATGTCCACTTGTCAGTGCTCAAGGGCCAGCACTCAGGGGCAAATGGGTAAACTGCGTAGGTCCCTTGACCCTGAAAGGGGTCCCTCAACATTGTGCAGAGTTGGGGATGCAGGTTCGCTAGGAATCCAGACTGATCCCGTCTCTCTGGGCCCTGGTTTCCTCCCTGTCAAGGAGGATGATCCACAGACTGTCTCCATCCTGGGGGGTGGGGGGTGGGGGAGTGCTGCTGGGATGGGATGGTTTGGAGCCGCTGTCTGGGCTTTGTTGGCACAAAGGCAGATTTCGAGCCAGACTGGGCAGAGGCCAGGAAGCCTGAGGGGCGGCAACTTGGAGCAGGTCCGAGGCCAGCCCCAGGCCATGTGAGCAGGCCGCGGGCAGAGCCAGGGCCTCCTCCTCCAGCCCTTAGTTCTCCTATGGGGAGGCTCACAGCGGGGAGGGGAAGTCTCACTCCTCCCGGGTGCTGATGGGGAGATGACAGAAGCCTCACTCCTGAACCCAACACCATGAGCCCCTCCCTTCCTGCCAAGCCCCAGGATCCTGCCAAGCTGCATGTGGCAACAGCTACCCCAACTTAGAACCCTTTAGGGTGGTGGTCCCTTCACAAGAGCTCCAGTCCTTGGCCTCTGCCCTTTGACCTAGGTGGGAGAGGAGCAGTCATAGCCTGCCTGTGCTGCTTGCTGGCTGTGCGAGCCTGAGCAAGTATGTCACCTCTCTGAGCACTGATGGGGGCCCCATCAGGAGAAGGTCTGCCACCCAGACACCGTTCTTCCTGTGGCAGGGAAGTGGACTGTGAAAGTGGGGGGCTTACTCCCCTCTGCCATAGGAACGCCATTAGTCTAGACACTCTGTCAGCACAATCAGCTGCTGGGCAAATATTTTGTTTTGACGATAATATCAGTGGTCTCAGTTATCTGAGCTCTGTCTGCTCTTGGCCCCATCACAGCCTCTGTTTTCTCCTCTGCAAAATGGGACCACCAATAGTGGCTGTCACAGTACTGACCATCTGAGGCTGGAATGAGATGCTGCTTGCAGGTAAAGAACCAAGGACCCACCCACCTGGCACAGCGCACCTCACTAGACATAGGGCACAAACATACACTTTCTAGTTATTTGTCTCTTAACTGCACTGTGGCTTCTTCGGAACAGGCCTGTGGCAGGCTGACTTCAAGGCCCAGCACCATGCTGGACACAATCAGCTGCTGGGCAAATATTTTGTTTTGACGATAATATCAGTGGGCTCAGTTATTGGGCTCTTACTCTATGCCAGACAGGGCATGCGGGACAACTTATTGACACCTTATCGAATGTGTACAATGGCGCGTCATCACCACTGCACCCAGAAGGACATTCCCAAGCCGTGGACTGCAGTGCTGAGGCTGCAGAACTGGGGCCTGTTTACCATCGTGGGGGCCACTTAACTCTGGTGGCTGTGCCTCTCCCCCCAACTCTGGTGCAACGGACTGTGGCAGGCCCAGCGCGGGTCAGCATGGTTCGGGTGGGAGGCGTGGCTTACCTTGGGGCCCAGGGAAGCGGCGTGGGAGGGAGTCAAGTCCACCCGTGGCAGATCTAGCGGCGGAGGAAAGCACTGGCTCTGCCCATCACTCCTCCTAGGAGAGAGAAAGGGGGAGTCAAGGCGAGTCCTGGGCTGGAGTAGGGGGTCTTGGGCTCCCTGGGAGATCGAAGAGGGGCTCCCTGAGCAGGCACCATCCCCAGAGAGCAAGCCCTAAACCTCTGCTTGGGCTCTCTCAAACACATACCCCAGTTCAGGGGATGTCCACACAGCCCATTCTGAGGACAGGTAGACTGAGGCAGGGGCAATGAGGGCTGCTGTAGAGGGTTGGTCTCTGTCCTCTGGCTGAGAACATGCTCCTGCCTCACTAAACCACCCCCTAGCACCACCACCCAAACCTTCAGGGAGACAGCAGCCTTAGGGCGGTCTTGATGCTTTTTTGTCTTTTCTGTTAATTCTTTCGGTTTGGAGGCCACACAGGGCTGTGCTCAGGGCTTACCCCTGCTCTCAGGGAACCCATATGTGGGTCTGGGGACTGAATTTGGGTCGGTTACATGCGTGGCCAGTGCCCTACCCTCTGATCTCTCCAGCCCAGGGCTTACTCCTGGCTCTGTGCTCTCAGGGGACTATCTGGGGTGCCAGGGATGGAACCAGGGTTGGCCGCATGCAAGGCAAGCACTCCCCGGCTGTGCTATGGCTCCAGCCCCACCAACACTGCTATTCTTTTTGGGTCACACCCTGCGATGCACACCTAGCTCATGCACTCGGGAGTTACTCCTGGCGGTACTCGGGGGACTATATGGGATGCTGGGAATCAAACCCCGGTCGACCGCGTACAAGGCAAACACCCTACCTGCTGTGCTATCGCTCCAGCCCAACACTGCTACCCTTATATATTTTTTGGGGTTTTTTTTTTGCTTTTTTGGGGTCACACCTGGTGATGCACCGGGGTTACTCCTGGCTCTACACTCAGGAGTTACTCCTGGCGGTGCTCAGGGGACCATATGGGATGCTGGGAATCGAACCCGGGTCGGCCGCATGTAAGGCAAACGCCCTACTCGCTGTGCTATCTCTCCAGCCCCAACACTGCAACTCTTAAAGACACTAAGAGCTGGCACTCATTGGGCCTACACCCCCAGTGAGCTGGTCCCCCTTTCTAGGAATGAGCACCCAGACTCCCCAGCACACTGTTATCCCCACTCAACAAGTGAGAGGCTGGTGACAGTTGGTCAGCAGGGCCAGTTGCGAGTGATCCTGATTGCGCCGACCCCAATTCTGGGTGGGCTCCCTGGCCTCTCCCTGCAGAAAGGAAGTGAAGTCGGCTCAGTCACATCACCCCAGAAAGCCTGTCGGAGGGGCCACCTTTAGGGTCAGGAAGAGGAAGTGCGCAGTGGCTCCCGGGAGACAGGGATTTGGGGGCGGGCAGCAGGCCTGGCTTCTGCCCGCAGCCTAGGGCCACCCTGACGTGGCCGCACCCCCGCTCGCCGCTGCATCCACAAAGGCTGTCCTGAGAGGGTGAGTCACTGGGGCCGCCAGATGATCCTCAGCCATGCGCAGAGCTTGAGTCAGGTACAGCTGGGCCTGCCACACCCCATGAGGGACAGGGCCTGCAGGAACCCGACCCAGGAAGCTCTCCCCATCCCATCTTCTCAGGACCCAGACACTCTAGCCGTGACCCCAGAGGAAGCACCTATCTAAGAGCTCTGGACCAGCAGGCCACATGGCCAGGGTGCTGGCAGCTGAAAAGAGGGGGTGCTATGGATAGCGCCGGAGCCAGGACAACAGAGATGGCTGGGGGAGAGAGTCCCAGGCACTCACCTGCCCCAAGATCTCGCAGAGCTGACGCTGCTGAGCCTCTGGGCTTCAGTTTTCCCCCAAAACTGACCATAATGCTTATCCCAACAAAGAGGCAATCACTCTTTGGTATGCATTAGTCCCCAGTAAGCTCTGCCCCACCCCCCACCCCCAGTTAGGATCAGAGTCAGTATTTATTAAATGGGTAAATGAGTGAATGTTGGCAGCAGGAAGGCGTTAAAGAGTCGTGAGCAGAAGGGCCTGAACACAGGTTCTTCGGGTGGACATGGGGAGAGACACGGGGAGAGAGGGACAGAGAGGGTCAGACAAAGACAGAGACAGAGAGTTGAAACGATGCCGGAAATAGGACTCAAGCTACAAGGGCCTACCCTGATGGCCTGCTCGACTCATACCCACTCCCCATTTTGTGTTTTGGTGGTTTTTTTTTTTGGGGGTTTGTGGGTCACACCCAGCAATACTCGGGGGACCATGTGTTGATGGGGATAGAACCTGGGGACCTCCAAGCACTCCAGCCCTTTGAGCTATCTCCCCAGCCTGATCTATGCCCCTTTCCACAGAGGGAGAAAAGAAAGTCCATAGAGATTAACTTGCCCTAGCACTGGGACCATGAGGTATTGGAGCCAAAGGGCCAGAGAGATAGAACGGGGTAAGGCACTTGCAACCCAGGTTCAATGCCCAGCACCCCATATGATCCCCTGAACCCTGCAGGAGTGATCTCTGAGCACAGAGCCATGAGTAAGCACATCCTGAGCACGGATGGGTTTGGAGGAAGAGGAGGAGGAGGAGGAGGAGGAGGAAGAGGAGGAGGAGGAGGAGGAGGAGGAGGAGGAAGAGGAGGAGGAGGAAGAGGAGGAGGAGGAGGAGGAAGAGGAGGAGGAGGAAGAGGAGGAGGAGGAAGAGGAAGAGGAGGAAGAGGAAGAGAAGGAGGACAAAGAAGAGGGGGAATAGGAGGAAGATGAGCAGGAGGAGGAAGTGGAGGAGGAAGAGAAGGGGGAGGAGGAGGAGGAGGAGGAGGAGGAGGAAGAGAAAGAGGAAGAGAGGGAGGAGGTGAAGGAAGAGAAGGAGGAGGAGGAAGAGAAGGAGGAAGAAGTGGAGGAGGAAGAGAAGGGGAGGAGGAGGAGGAAGAGAATGAGGAGGAGGAGCAGGAGGAGGAAGAAGAGAAGGAGGAGGAGATAGAGAAGGAGGAGGAAGTGGAGGAGGAAGAGAAGAGGAAGAGAGGGAGGAGGTGGAGGAAGAGAAGGAGGATGTAGAGGAAGAGGAGGAGGAAGAGGAGGAGGAGGAGGAGAAGAATTATTGAAAGGCAGTGCTCTGGGCTTGGGGAGATGGCTCAGTAGACTGAGTGCATGCTTGCTGTCACGTGGGCAATGCAGGTTCAATCCCTGGCACCACATGGTTTCTCTGAGCACTGAGAGGAGTGACTGCTGAGCACTGAGCCAGGAGCACTTCCTGAACACTGCTGGACATGGCTCCCAAACCAAATCAGTCAATCTATAAAGCCAAGGTTCTTATGTGTTTTTGGAGGGTGGGGTGGGGTGAGGGCAGGGTTTGGGCCACAACTGGCAGGGCTGAGGGCTTATCCCTGGCTCTGTGCTCAGAGATCACGCCTGGTGGACTCGGGGACCATATGGAGGATGGGGGTCAAACCCGGGTCAGCCACGTGCGAGGCAAACACCCTCCCCACTGTACTGTCTCTCCGACCCTTAAAGCCAGGGCTCTGGGCTGAACCAGAGGGGTGGGGATGCTGTGCAGGGACCAGGAGCCTTGGACTTGGACCCCGTGAAGCTGGCTCCCCTGGGCAGAGAGGTCAGGCGGGGCCACTCCCACTCCCAGCATGCTCCCCTTCTAGAACCCTCTCTGCCTCCGTTTCCCCGTGTGTAAGGTGGTCATCTCACTTGGAGCTGCTTACGGAGGCACAGGACTCAGGAGGTCTCTGAAGAGAAGGTCACTCCGGTTTCTGTCTGGGACTCGGCACCTGCCACCTGCCCTGGGCCCTCAGCTTGCCAGGTCCTGTGTGGCCAGAGCCCCACATACCTCCAGCCCCGCTCCACTGCTGCGAAGGCCCTCAAGGACCACTGTCCAGGCCCTTAAGCACAGGGGACAAGAGCAGGAAAGCTGGGAGTCACCGCCCCCGACATCCTGACCCCGAAGGGATGGAACAGCAGTACAGCAGCCCCCAGCAACCCGTGTCCAACCTGCTCCCACTCCATCCTCCTGATGCCCCACACTGCAGGGGCAGAGAAACTGCCCGCTTGACATAGGAGAAACCTGAGCTCAGAGAGGCACGTTCACTTCTCTGGAGTCACACAGCCATGGAAGCCGAGCAGTCTCTGACCTCAAGTTTGTCACCCCCAAGTCCAAGATGTGAACTGCACAGCAGGGGCATCCAGCCCGGGGCTGGGGGGTGGGGGGGCAGTGTATGCTCTCAGAGAGGCAGTCAGCCCAGCCCAGCAATTACTGCTGTGCATTCACCATTTCAGCTCATCTTCCAGGGGGAGGCCGGATGCAGGGCGGGGAAGAGACTTGTCCAGAGTCACGTGAGAGCAGGTGACTGGGGGGGGGGGGGAGCACGTGCCATGCCTCACGTGTGAAACGGCTGAAGGAGTGAATCAACGCAGCCTCTCGCTCCCTCTCCACGCTCCTTCTCTGACGCCGCCTCCCTTCCTCCTGGCCCCCTCCCCTCTCACCATCGCACCCCCAGCCTGGACTGCCTCCGCCCCCACTCCCGTCGCTGGCCTGTGCAGAGCTCCCCAGGCTGGGGCATCTCCCTCCTGTCACGAAGGTGACCCTTCCTGGCCCTCCCCTCTGCCTCCTATCCCCCCTTGTACCCACCATCCCACCCGCTGAGGCCTCCAAGTCTGCCCTTGGCCCTGTCTCTAAGAACCCCCAGTACAACCGCCCGGCTCAGCCTCCGGGCCCCGCATTCCTCCCGCACCTGCGGCAGGCGCAGCCTGGAGGTGTCTGGTGCAGACCGGCATGGAACGGGGAATGCTCCTGCCCCCTCTGCTGTCCCCCTCGACCAGACTCGGCACTCTACTGTTTGCCCTTGGCCTGGGTTGCCGCCGCAGCCGCAGCTGCTTGGGGAGGTTAGGCAATTATCAACCTGTTTTCCAAACAAGAAGACAGCAGCCAGGTGCCTGTGAGGAGAGGCCAGAGCTCTGGGCTGACCCGGGCGCCAGGCTCCAGCCAGTGCACTGCTCTCAAGCTGTGCCCTGGGCCTGCTGTCTAGCCGGAGCTCCTGGTCTCGCGGTCACCGCCCACACCTCCCCGGGTGCAGCTCCAGTC